TTTTTTTTTTTTTTTTTTTTTTTTTTTTTTTTTTTTTTTTTTAATAATTTTAGTTTTTTTTTTTTTCTCTTTTTTGTTCACAATCGGAACATACCATGGGCACCAGATCCTGTATTGGCCGCTCAGGCAAAATCCCCAAATTTGAGTTTAAATAGGCTTTCTACCCAAGGAGTAGTTTCAGGATCAGCCACTTAAGGTATGCAGGTTTTCTATCCATTCTACACTGCTCCCCTCATGCTAAAAAGCTAAGGAGGAGGGGAAAAAAACTCAGTAACTCCATCCACTGAATCGAGTTAAAAGTAGTTCTCCAGGCTCAATGTCGTGTGTAACCAACTCACCTCCGCTTGCAAAAAGATGTGTCAACAGACACCCCTCCCTCCCACCACACAAAAACAAAAAAAAACCAAAACAGAAAAGGCAGCCAATCTCAACGAAAAGTTACAGTTGTGAGACTGATAGATGTTAATATGACAAGCAACAGAACGGTTATGAGGACCCATGTGTTTGGCCCATGAGCTGCATAGCTGTGCTGTAAGTTTGGTTCTTTAGGTTTTTTTTTTTTTAAAGTTAAAACTTCTTTGTTATCTCCATATGTTTAAAATTAACGAGGACGACGACGACAGCAACAACAAAAAAAGGTTCTATTCACAAGATCTAGTCTCCTTTCCCTGTCCCCCACTCGAAAAGAAATACTCATTTTTACATGAGAAACTTAATTGTGCTGTATTTGTAACACCTCAGGCTGATAGAAAACAAAACGTGTGGCAAACAAAACCGCACAATCAGTCACATGAAATCTACCAAATACTAAAATTATAACTGAATACTAACAAACAGCTTACCTGGAATAAAGGATGACAATTCACAAACAGTTATCTAGGAATTAAAGTATCTCTCTCTTTTTTTTGTTTTTTTTTTTTACTAAAATAATTAAAAAAATCACAGTATTTTAAGAAATAAAACCCACACTGGGATTTTAAGCACAATTTGTTTTTTCCTTTCTTTAAAACTTTTTTTTTTTTTCTTCCTCCATTCACCACCTTGCCCAGCAGTCTCTCTACATTTAACCACAACAACAACAGGTAGTACTGACAAATGCAGAGATCTCCCTTGGTTAATTCTGAGGTACTAGGAAACAGGTGACTGTTTTAAGCAAAGCAGTTTCTGTTTTGTTTTTTTTTTTTATGTTTTCCTTTTTTTTTTTTTCCCTGGGGTTTTTTTTTTTCTTTTTTTTTTTTCCCCCTGTGGTTTTTTTTTTTCCTTTTTTTTTTCCCCTTTTTTTTTTTAATTTTTTTTTTTTTTCTTTTCTAAAGCAGTTGCTTTCAGTCTGGAAAAGCGTTTTACGTATTAAAACTAGAAAAACGCACATAAACTTGTGCGTCCAAAAGTTGTCCCCCTACCACTTCTTCCACGCTCACGACGCTTCCACTCATAAAACAATCGAAGTCTCCACTGCAAAGCACGATGTGTAATGTAGGAAAAACACGGGGAGTTGCTTCATTAGTCCAAGGATGAGCGTAACTTCCCACCGTCAGATCCAGGAGGAAAACAAAAGATGCAGTGACGTAATGGAGCCACTTATCCCATCACTTAAATAACTTTTAATATACACACACTCACACAGGTACCAGTGCTTTGAAAATAGATCATTCAGTCCTAAAAGCAGCTTTATTTCTTCCTTCTGCCCGCCCCGCCCCGCTCATCACTGTTCAAGTACTGTCGATCAGAACCACACCAAACTCTTATTCTTATTCGTTTTTGGCCTCCGGGGTGTCTAGGAGAGGTTGGTCAGCAGCCACCATGCTGACAGCTGTTTCCCCACCGTGGGAGTAGTCCACCACCATGGTCTCGATTCCTTCCTTCTCTTCTGGCAGCGTGCTGGCCGTGTCCTCCACGTCCTCCTTGGGCTGGCTGTCCTCGCCGCTCCTGTGCTTGCTCTCGTTCAGCGCCCTGCAGGAAACAGGAAGGGCAGAAGCGGTCAGGTACAGCAAAGCCAGCCCCTGCCTGTCACATGAGGGACAGCAGCAGATCACCCTCCAGAAAGGCAGCCACGCCACTGGCTCCAAAGGAGAGGCGGAGGAATGAAGTTGCTGGTGGGACATTCCAGCCCTGAAATTGAATCTTTAGTTTGTTCGGCGCTGGGACGGATTTGGGATCAGAAGGAGGAACTCAAACTGTGACACTTGAAGCTTATTCCCATCTCTCTCAGGCAACTTGTAAACAAGACTTAGGAGGCACCAAACAAAGGCACAGGAAATGAGTGCTTTTCCCAAAGAGTCCATAAAATCCAATAAAACTTTTCATAGGTTGCAGCATTTCAAGTACTTATGCTCAGACTTACACTCTGTTAAGTGTAAGAGAAGTTATTGTTTCTCATCCCATTGCAGTTAACCCACAATATTGTATTCAGATGCTTCCCACATGTCAGCAGCCTTGGATGAAATCTACTCTTTGAACAAACCCTGGCTAGAAAAGAGGTCTCTGCTACCAATGAGATCTACATCAAAAGAAGGAAACAGATTGCTCCAGAGATTCCTATCTGTGATGTGTGTGCAAACTGCTGTAGAGAGGAAAAAAAATTTTTTAAAAATCAACAGCACACTTAGGGGAAGTTAATCCTGGCCAAGAGGCATTCACCTAGGGACAACCTTAAGTTTTACAACCACAGTTAAACCCTACAGTTTACAGCTACCCTGGGCAGCAGAGTCAGAAAGAATGCAGAGACATTCGATAAACCATCCAAAGACAAATTTGGTCTTCACACAACTGTGTTTGCAATTACTGCAGCTTTTTGGGAGGGCAGGGATGGGGTGAGGGGAATATAGAGAGATCTACTGACACCTCTGGCTGCTTGGCAAGGGAACACAAACCAACTCACATGCCATGCCTCAGCACATGCCGCTCCCACTCGGAGCCCTCGGTGAAGGATCGGCCGCAGAACTCGCACGGAAAGCGTTTCTCTGGAGCACTGCTGTCAGGAAACATCATGGGATCTGGAAAAAAGACAGCACAGCCCATGAGTTCAGAAATGCCAGGGCAAGAAGGGAATTGTCACCACAGTGGTCCTCTCTGCTGCACCACTCGCTCCAGAGAAGCAAAAGGACTTTCCTGTCAAATAAGTTGGAAAATGCAGCTGCTGAAAAGTGACACTGCAAGTGATAAATCCCACCCCAGGTCTTAAAGCATCTCTGCAAAGTAAGGGTAACAAGTTACTAGTCCCTGCTCCTCTATTTCAACAAATGAAAAGACTGTAGAATTTAAATTCTAAACCAAAACTGCAAAACTTAGGAAAGCAAAACGAAGTCCCCACTCAAGTCCATCTGTAATTCTGGAACCGGTAGTACAAATTTTAGGAAACACACGGATTGGGTACATTTAACATGTGATTCTTGTAATAGCTCCTGAAGCTGCATGGATTAAGTCCTGCATCTTAACTGCATAGGTGTTTCATGCTCATCCTAATCTTCTGTACAAAGTGCTTGGGGCCTCATTTGCAGAAGTGTCAAGCACCTTGTAATATGAGTGAAGTCACGGGCAGCTCAGGGAATGACATTCCAGAAAGCCAAGCTCCATGTGAACACAGCCTGCTCTGACAAAAGATGAAACATTTTCTCACAAATTAAGAAGATCACCGCACCAGCCATTGAAAATAATTGCACGAACTATCTCACTTTATTCTTCTGCTGGAAATGAGACAGCACCATCTGCCCAGAGCATTAATTCCTTAGCAGGGATTATCTTAAGCAAGAAATCAACGGAATGTCTTTCTGACTCCTCAAGAACCACATAATAAAAGAAAAGGGATTTTGCTTAATTTTGGTTCTGATCTCTGCTCATTTGATTTCTTCACTCTCAGACATACTCTGTTCAGGATCAGTCTGTGAAGTCAAAATTGCTCACACATTCCCTATTACCCACACCTAAGTCCTGCAAATGCATTTCTGAGACACACTTCTCACTAGTTAACCTGTACTTCAGTTTTAGATGGAATGGTTCTTGACACAACTTTTTGGCCTCTTCCCATGAAAGGCAAAAAAATACACTTTGTATTTCTTATTGTTGGGAGTTTATTTATTACGTGGTTAAATATCATAAAGCTGCTGTGTTGGGGAACACCAGAATAGAAGCAGCAAATGCCATCAGCTCAGCTTACATCTGGATTTTTAACAGCTTAAGCATGGCACAAATGTATAAACACACAGACTAGTCATGACACAGAGATAAATATTTTTGGTGGGTAATAGTTTTGGAGGCAAATGATGCTGATGTTCTGTGTAACAGTATAACTATGGATGGGGCTTGGAGCAACCTGGGGTAGTGGAAGGTGACCCTGAGTATGGCAGGGGTGGGACTGGATGCTCTTTAAAGGGCTCTTCCAACCCAAACCAGTCCATAATTTATACCTGCAAATCCCATTAAGTTTAGCAAGTGTTACTCTAGTAAATCCACCACCCCTTCAGGCAACACTATCTTGTTCATCCTACTGCCCAGTAATTTTTGCCTCTAGGGATGTGAATTTGGGCTGCTTCCCTGGAGGATTATCAGAAGCTGCTCTTCTCTGGGTCCTGCAGAGCAGAAGCAACAGATTGCACACACGCCTGACCTCTCAGTGGTTTTGCCCTGTCACACATACAAACACTCAGTAACATTTAATTTTTTCCCGTTGTGGAAAAACACCTCTTGATCTGCTGAGACCAAGACTTAAAGATCAGTAACAGCCTCTTTGAGACACAGGTCTACCTGAGAACGCTGATCTTGGCATGGTCTGTGCCAAGACACCTCATTTTCCCCCACATATCTCCTTTTATTCTATATCCTTTACCACCCCTTCCTTTCCCATCCAAAAGTGCAGTTCAGCTCTGCTGCCCAACTCTGCCTGTCCACATGGACAATGCCCTTTGTTTGGTCCAGCAGCCCATGTGAAGAAGCAACAAGTTCTTATTTGCACCTTCAGTACTGCACAGAGCAGCTCAAGTCAAAGTGGTGAATCCAGGGAAGAAATCCTGATTCTCCCAAAGTCACAGACCTCAGACAGATACTTGGAGCACACAGAGGCACTCCCACCAAATCCCACTGCCTGCTAACACCACAAAGGCTAGGATTGCCAGATGCACCCCAGCAGCACCCAGGATTGCCAGTTTCATGTGGTTTGAAAGCTGTGACAGCATTAGCCACTGTGACAGGCTCTGTTTGAAACCACAGGTCTGGCTCTCTGCTACCAGGGCAAACCATTTCTGTGTCAGAAGGACCTTCTGAAAATGCCTAGGGAGATGCCAGCATGAAACTTAGCATCCTTCAGTTCCTGTCTCACTGGGACATTTTTTCAAAAATCTTGCACCTTAAGTGTGATAATTCACACAACTTACCCAGAAAAATGCAATCAATACAACTGGATCTTTTCTAATATCCTTGCTGTAGTAAGTGTTTTCTGCATTTTCTACCTATTTGGCTATAATCTTACAAATGGTTAGGAGATTCAAAAGGACAAAAAAAAACCCTGCAAAAAACAATGGTGAAACATCAGCCCTACAGGCCAGAGAAGAAAGAAATGCTGCAAAGCAAACCTGAAAATACGTCTGATTTTTTCAGGCTGGTCACCCAAACAAGCATGCAGAAATCATTTCAGCCAGTCACAGATTAAAGAAAACAGACAGAGGTGAAAAAAAAAAAAGTACAGCATCATCAAAACACTGCCTTGCTTAACTCTGAAACATGAGGACAGCACATCTATTAACCCTTGAACATGTAATACTCCAGCATGGAAGGTGATGTTTTTATACTTCCAGGGTGTAACCTAAAGCCAATTTAAACAATGAACTTCACCTTGGGATGCCCCCCTGCCCGTGGCACATTCACAGGGATTTGTGAGGCTTGGCAGAGAGCACTTTCTTCTCCTTGGTCTGGGCACCAGAGCCTCCAAGGTCACCTCAGCACCTGTGCCTGTGTGTAAAGCTAAGGTAATCCTCACAAGGACAGCTTGACTCCTCACCCCCTGCTAGCTGTGGGTCTACACAGGACATTAATCAGCCTGCTGCATCTGCAGCTGAGGTGAGCTGGTGCTTTAGTCAAATCATGACACAATTTCTGTTCCAGCCACAGAGGAAGCCGAGAGGGTCGGAGCTGTCCCTGAGGAATGCTGAACTCCGAGATGCACATGTGGAACTGACATCCCTCCTCTGATTTTCCTGCTGCTCTACCTCTAAGACCTTGTGCAGAGGATTTTTTGTTAAAACATAAATGGTTTCCTATCCAATTGGCTTGCATTCTCGATTAAGTTAAAAGCCATCACTAACTGCTCCTGAAGCTCTGCTGATAAGCACAAACTGAATTCATGCTGCAGGGAGACAAAAAAATCCAAGATGCTGGGGTCTTGCTGTTAAAAGGCAAGAAGTATGATCTGAACCACCTAGTTCTGTAAACTACCTGTGAATCTGGGAATTTTTCATTGCCTGAAAACAGAGATATCTTTTTTATTTGTGAAAAGCTCTTGAGTGAGTTTGAAATTTAAAAGATCAGGAGGAAAATGTTCACCAAACAAGGTGGTTTACCTTCAGCTGAAGTACACGGAACTTGGCTAAGTGGAGCTGTCAGCATCAAGAACTGGGTGACCTGTCCTTCAAACCATGAGGGGACTAAAGATATTAAAGAGCTGTTGCATTATATAATGCATTGTTGCACCAGAACAAAACACAGTTACAACAGATATTGAAATAACTTTCCTTTCATGGGAGAAGGTTGTTGGAAAGGAAACCCTTCATTTAATTATCAGAGAACTTACTTTTTCTCTGCTGATCTAAATTCAACCAAACCAAAATTATATGGCCTTGCTTTGTTGAAGTCAGTGGGATTATTCTTTGATACAAACCTAGGCACATATTTAAATATAAAATGGTCCAGACAGGTGGGCATGGATGTACCCTGGCTCTGGAGCTGCCAAGTGCAAACAGGACTGATTGACAAAGAATGCTGGGGAGAGAGATAAATAACAGTCCATAAAGCAGCCCTCATCCCCCACTTGGGCAATGCCAAGTGAAAGCTGGAAACTAGGTACCAAAACAGAAAATCTGACAGGCCACTAAAATACACTTAGGCAGTTTTGCAAACCCTTATAGATGGTATCTGAACAGGCAGATTAGTCACAGATGCTATCTGTGCCTTCTCATAGTGTGTATTCTCTCTGAACAGACAAAAAACTTGTAAGGAGGATTAGAAACACAAGATTCCCACAGGAGCTGTGTCTTCAGGAAAGCCACATTCTGTTACTATTTCTGCAGTGCTGTCCAGGTGACCTAGCGTGGTTGGACTGGTGAGGCAGGTTGCAGTACCCAAAAAAATCCAACAAAACCCCCCTCAACACATGAAAGAGCTGCACTGACCTCTCTCTTGAGCCTTGGGGCTTAACTCTTCTTCTTTTTCTTCTTCATCACTGCTAGAGCTCTCTGTTTTCCCTTTCATTTGCTCCAACTGGTCCAAGTTAACCCGTCCAACCAGCTCAAAATTACGACTCACCTTTGAAAGAAACACTTCTGTTAGTACTCAGCACAATCACCAACCAGCCAGGAAAATGGCCACAAATGCAGAACAAAACCAAGTACACCCCAAAGCCTGCTCGGCTCAGAGGTGACATGCAGTCCCCATAATTAAATTAACACTCATTTATTTCCAGGGGCAGTGATTCTTCCATTGCTGTTTATTCTGCATTTCTCATTTCTGGTTTTTTTTTTTTTTTTTTTAATTAATGAGATTGGGTAAACCCCCTTCATTTCTTCATCCAAGAAATGGAAAACATCGAGTCGTATCCTCATTTTTATGGCATTATTCAACTGCTGTGATCAAACACTGCTACCACACATCCACGCTGAAGGGAAACTCTTTGTGACGAGTTCATTCAGCTTTATTCATGAAAGGATGGCTCTTTTTCTCACTAAGCACATGGCTGCTGTGTGGCACATACACTTTCACTCATTAATAACAGATTAATTTCCATTACGCCCGGGCTGCAAAGTGCTTTGCAAACTGATAGCAGCCTATAATGGGAACACTTCACCCAGCAGTCAAATTCAGCTAACCCTGGGGTGAAATGCACCAGCTACTTAACAGCTCACAGCAGCAGTATGAAAGGAGCAGCTCAGGGCACAGGAGTCAGGAACTGCTCCACATCCAAGGGGAACAGCGGAGCAGCAGCCCAGATTTACAGCGGAGGCGGAGAGCGTGGAGCGTGACCAGGACACCAAGGCTAATACTTGCTGCATGACAAGGGCCCTCTGAGCTCATTGATCACTGCTGGGAAGGGTTTTGGATTCATCTTTCATGCAGAGAGACAGCCCTCCAGCAGCACAGGCGCTGAGCCACGCAGGCAGAGGGGATGGAGACGGAGCAGTGAGTGCGGTACAACGCGTCCTGCGAGAGGCTGAATGAAAAATCAACACCCACTGACTGCTCTTTGCCCCTCTGTGGGAAGGGAAATGTGAATGATCCTGAGGAGGATGTGAAGCAGGCTGCAGGATAGATCCAAACAGCGAAGTATCCTGAATATAGAGGTGTGAAGGTTCCTAGTACTGGGTTACAGACAGTTGTGATCAGGTTCTCTAACTTAACACATCACCCACAGAGGCTTAAACAAGCAAGACCACATGCAAGGCACTTGACTCTACCCAGCTCATGTGAAGGAACTCTTTTTAAGGTGCACTATACAACCTGGGTAGTGTCTGAGCCCAGAACTTAAGACATAAATTGGAGAGGTACAATTTACCCACCAAAAAAAGGGGAAATGATACCTGAAACTACCAGCACCACCACTGCCGGTCCAGTTCAGAAGGGACAGATAAGTTAAGGGAATAATTATCCCACACTGATGCACTGTGTCAAAAAAACCCCAAGCAATAGTTCCTCCTGGATGCAGCAGGCACCAGGAGATGTGGAACTCCTTCTGTACCATCTGAATAGCAGGAGACACTCCAGAAGTAATAAAGATGGCAGAGGAGCCTAGCACGCCAACATAAATTAACAAAGTGTGGTTTTATAAGATGGCCAGGTATTTTTGAGCATGAAAGCTGTTGTTTTGTTGTTGCTTTTTTTTTTTCCTGGGACTTCTGCTGCTAATACCTTCCATATATATTTGGCTTTAAGGAAAAATCATTCAGTCAATGAAGCTTTTAGTGAGGACCATGGGCAGCTAAGCTCCAAGAGGGGAAGGCATATAGCTGCCTCCCCTGGAAACCTGCCAAGGAAGCACTCTAGGAAATATTCCAAAACACATCCCAGTTCTAGAACTTAAACATTTCTCAGCTACAGAAATTCAAAGCTATCAGTCTGTGGAAAGCCTTTAATGACTTCTCAAAGACTGGACCCAGATATGCTCTCAGGTAATCCACAAAAACTCCAAAGCAATCTTAACTGAGGGCCTGGTTAGACTTGCTGTTTATCTTTCCCTTGTTAAAGGTAAAAGGGGATGTATAGACCTCTTTGTTATTAAAATATGCCAGGCATGTCATGCTGCTGAAGTTACCAGAGCAATCCTGTGTTTGGAATCTCCTGCCTTTTACAGGGGCTGAATCACACTGCCTTGGTATTGTTCCACCACTCTTTCCCCACCCCCCTTTAGATAAACCCAGCACACACAAGAGCCTTTTCCAGACAATCACACTCTGCATGCAGCAGTTTGCCAATTCTGATCAATCTGAACAGCTTCAGAAACGATTATTTTTCAGTTTCTGAAGAAACTAACAAACAAACAAAAAGATGAATAAAGAGAAAAATGAGAAAGGGAAGTGCAACATGGGATTAGTTTTCAGATTTGGGGAGGGAGAGGAAAAAACAACCCCAGTGTCAAGCTGTCTAGTCAGACATGCAAATTAAATCAATTCAGTATTTGCAAAGACTAGACTGCCACAAATTAAAGCTATTTGGGTCCTACCTTGTGCTCATCTCGAAGGTGAGCATCCAGCTCCTCTGTGTGTTTGGTCTCATAGTAGCAGAGTTGGCATTTGTAAGGTTTCAG